ATATTTATATAGACGGTCTTGTTTCCAATCATATTGTTAAATTTATGTACTTAAATGCAATCAAAATATTAATAGTATCTTTAAAGATTTTAGTTACTAGCAGAAGAGTATATACATAGGTATTTTTTTATTAAATAAACTAATATATATATATATTTATATATATATATATATATATTCTTTGTATTTAAAATGAAATATATTTATGTTTGGCAAGAATGAGAAGGAAAATTCTAGTTTAGTCTAGTTATAGCAATAAAAAAAACAAATTTTATATAACTTATTATAGTAAACGTTAAATGTAAAAACACTGTCCAAAAATAATATAGCTGCACCTGCAAAGTACTAAAAAACACTTATGTAACACATTTTTAACGCTTTGTAGATGCTGTGTGCTACTTGGATGATTTTAAATTACTGAATTTACATATTTATTGAATTTACATATTTATATCCAGTTATACATTAGTAGATTTGATTACACCAGAAATTTTTATATTATATTTAAGTTAGTAATACCAGCATGATAGACAAAACAATTATTATTTAATAGGAATATTGAGATAAACAAAATATCTTACCTTTATAATCAATTATCAGGATCGCGAAAATCTCAACCTATGTTGATACAGAAATAACAAAGTGAAATCGTAATGTATGGCTTAAATATTCAATTACGTATATACATCAGGGTAGTCTCAAATTCGTAATAGTTATAAAATAGCTCGTTACGTTGATCCAACGTCAGCACGATTGACAGGTAGCCATAGTATGAATTTGCTTCCGATAAAATAAACAATATTTCTTGCCGTTTTTTATATGTTTTATATACGATTGAAATCATGATTTTCATCCATCTTTCATTCATCTGTACATAATAACATATATGTGCTTTTTACATGTATTTCGATCACTGTGAGAAAGAGGTTAGAAGAATCCAAGCAAAAAATGAGAATGTAACGCAACTACAGGTTCAATGTTGCCAACTCTCGAAAAAAAAAAAAATAAATTAAAGCAGAGAGAAACCTGAGAGGACATGCCGGCCCAAAACCTGTAACTGCAAAATGCTGCCGCGCACTACTGCCCCCTCACAAAGTGGATGTAAACTACATAGCTCTAATACGTCCACTTTTCAACTCTAGATGATAAATCAATATTTGGTTCACCGACGAGATACTATTAAAAATCGACATTCTTACGGGAGTTCGCGTCCTTGTGAATATTGAAATAATTAAGAGTTAAAAACTGATAATACTGTACTAATTTTATGATTTATTAGTTTAGTAGACGTTTATTTATGCATTTATAATTCTATAATACTCGATTTTTCTTTAAAATTGTAATTTCAGTGTTATTGTCAAAGTTTGATTGTCAACAGAAATAATAACTACAGAGAAAAAATTGTAATTTTTCTACAGTATATAGGATATTATAGCTTTACAAATATGCATATTTATTTATGGAACATTTATGTAATAAAAAATCATGAATTTAATAAGCCATGTAGCCAAATATTTATGTTAATAATAACAAATTTATATCAATTGTCGATAATGTCAGCGTTCTTCAAGTATCTCCAAGCCCTTGAAGCCTTTTTATACTGCCGAAAATTTGTTCAAAGTTGACGGTCTTTAATAGTATCTCGTCGGTGGTTCATATAATCGCACTTATATTCACAAATTGTGCATCAGAAATATTCATCTCTGCAATCTTATATGCGCGTGATGTTTATTTCGCTTAAAAGTATTAACAGTAAGGTTTTATTATATTTTTTCAAATGTATTAATATTTATATCTTAAATAAATTACATATGTACATATGAATTAAATTGTATTTCAAGCATTTTATTTTTATTAAACACATTTTTAGTTTATTTACTTTATAGTTTATTTACTTTATTTGTTATTATTTTCTTATTACAATACTAAAAATTGAAAAGCATATAATGACAAAATTAATCTAAACTTTTTTTACTCCCGACTGCTGCCAACCGAAGGTTGGCGAAAACGGAAGGAGTAAAAAAGTTCAGATTAATTTTATCATTATATGCTTTTCAAATTTTAGTATTGTAATAAGAAAATAATAACAAATAAATTATAAAAATGTGTTTAATAAAAATAAAATGCTTGAAATACAATTTAATTCATATATTGTATATATAAAACTTATTTAAAATGCGTTTCACTGAGGCGGGTCGGTGACCGATAATATCCATAATTACAATGTATTCTTATCAACTTTTGGCTACAGACTTCTTATTGACCAAGCTTGATTTATAACACATAATTATCATTAATTGTATTGTTATTTATCAAAATTTCTTATCTTTCCCCATATATCCATAAAGTTCCGTGCCGCTTTCTCCTACACCTCTATCAAACATTTTAATTCCCTTCCTGATTCAATAAAAATCTTTCCCTCTCTGTCCTTCTTTTGTTCCGCTGCCTCGCGTTTCATTGCGTCACTCACAGTATTTCAACGAGACTGATGTAATTAATGCGTTTGCGGGTGTATGCGCATGTGTGTGTATGTGTATAGATATGTGTGTGTGTGTGTATGATAGATTAGATATTAGATTAGATATTACAATAGTTTACCTCTTATGTCTTATTCTGATTTTGTTACTGGTAGGCTTTATAACAGCAATTTTGCGAACGCCTAACCATTTGCAAGCTACAATTGTCTATTGTATTTACGTTTATGTTAACTATAGTCTATTGTATCTATTACTCTATTAACATGTAGTCTTTTTCATATAGCTTTGCAATAAACTAAATTAAATTAATAATTTAATTAAATTATTTAATAAAATATTTTTGTCAACATAAGTTTTTGATTGATTAGAAATGAGTTCTCGTTGTATGTACGTTCTTTTTTGGATGTCGACTGAATCTAGGAACTAAATCAATGAACCAATAAGACGTATTGTCAGTAGGGAATCTCAGTGCGGTACTGTGACTCTCTATCTATGTTGAGTCGAAAAAATAAGTAGGGGAATCTTAAGAAGAACTTCAGTGATCTTTGTTTGCACGAAGCGAGATATTAATTGCATGAAATAAACAAGTCTGACAGAAATAAAGCGACGCTCTGTCTCGCGAAATGAGATATTAATAATTATTAATGTTGATCAGGATTAGTAGTAATAGGTTAGGAAATCTGTCATTCAATGCGATATGAGCTATGCACTATAATCATAAGCACTATAATCATATGCACTATAATCTATTCGCGCTTGCACTTTATCTTTTTAAGACCAAATATATATCTCATTTTATCAAGGCCAAGCGGATTGCCGGACAATGAATGTAGGATACAATGAATGTAGGAAATGGTTTGCAATCGAAGTAACAAGTAACAACGTTTATTAAATAGCAAATATAATATTGTATCGCGAAGTCATAAAGTAACTATGTCGTGTACAGGACGGTTCTAGAAGGAATGAAAATGTTCTCAAAGGAGTATCTCAGTAGCAGTGATGCGAATTCCAGGCCGCTTGCAGTACTCGATCAGCGCCACCGATCGGCGGCCTGGCGCAACCGGTAGCAACACAAGCATGAGCCCGTGTCCGTGTGACTTGGTTAGCTAGAAGCGTGCCGATTACTAGATAACATATAAATTTTAATAAATTGTAATAATCATATACCTCTCTCATTAATCCAGAATATTATAAATCGTGTCAAAACGCAATAGTTGACGAGAGATTAATTGTTTATGATTTTCCATTCGTGTTATGTACCACGGTCATAAATTCGATCCGCAAGAAATTGGCGTGGTCGAGCGCGTAAGGTGTGAGATCGGAAACAAGTACTATAATTAGTAGTAAACATATATATTAGGTCAAATATTTATTACATTATATTATATTTTCATATAATTTTTGAAATTATTCGTATGTGTAATTTTTAAGCAATAGTTGTAGGAAAAAAAACCGATTCGCTTTTCAATAAATACAAAATTATTTTAAAATTACAAACATATGAAGGCTTTCAATTGTGCACTACAAAATTGTATTGGTATCATCTTTATTATAGTGTATTATTAGTAATTTCGTTTTCGAAATTTTGTTAATTAACAGAATTTTAAATGCGGATGTGATAGAAAGAAACATTTTATACAAAATATTGATCGACACGAAGCGTATTTATCATAAACGCAACATCATTAAACATGTTTTTTTCATATGAATCTTTCATCGATCAAGTCGAATACATACCATACATGTCGAATCATTATTTTTCCTATAATTTTTTATTTTAAGATATAATACACGAATAATTGCAATTGTTATACGAAAATATATTATTTGATCTTATACAGATGATTAATCAAACTACTTATATCACAAAAGTATATTAGGGAAAAAAAGGAAAAAAACAGGATTTTCGCGTGAGATTATCAGCGTACTATCCGTACATTTTATTTACTCAGCCACATCGATTAATTGAGTTTGACATTTACTAGTGCGATATAGAATCCACACGATAAACGCTCTCGTGTTCTCGTATTCTCAAGAATCTCGGATTGTCGATGCAACGCGCGATATTATTATCAAAATATCTCTCTTTCTTTACTTTCCTACATATTTTAAATATTAATCGGAATAAAGTGAGGTATTAGATATTATTATGGTGCATACTTCTACGAAATACGCAACATTAAAATTTGTGAGTGTGAAAGTATCCACTCTTGGCCAATATGTATTGCAATATTGATTGGGAAATGTTAACAATTTATTTACATTTTCCAATCAATAAATTTTCTACTAACACACACACACCCACACACATTTATGACGTTTATGACATTTTAACCAAAATAACTTTTTTTTTAATAGAAAGTTAAGTCGAAAACTATAGGACTTATTATTCTTTAAGTTTTTTATAATTATTTAGAAAAAAATCTTTCAAGAAAACTCAGTGATGTCACAACGCAAAGATGAGTGATTTGATAATAATATCGCGCGTTGCATCGACAATCCGAGATTCTTGAGAATACGAGAACACGAGAGCGTTTATCGTGTGGATTCTATATCGCACTAGTAAATGTCAAACTCAATTAATCGATGTGGCTGAGTAAATAAAATGTACGGATAGTACGCTGATAATCTCACGCGAAAATCCTGTTTTTTCCTTTTTTTCCCTAATATACTTTTGTGATATAAGTAGTTTGATTAATCATCTGTATAAGATCAAATAATATATTTTTGTATAACAATTGCAATTATTCGTGTATTATATCTTAAAATAAAAAATTATAGGAAAAATAATGATTCGACATGTACGGTATGTATTCGACTTGATCGATGAAAGATTCATATGAAAAAAACATGTTTAATGATGTTGCGTTTATGATAAATACGCTTCGTGTCGATCAATATTTTGTATAAAATGTTTCTTTCTATCACATCCGCATTTAAAATTCTGTTAATTAACAAAATTTCGAAAACGAAATTACTAATAATACACTATAATAAAGATGATACCAATACAATTTTGTAGTGCACAATTGAAAGCCTTCATATGTTTGTAATTTTAAAATAATTTTGTATTTATTGAAAAGCGAATCGGTTTTTTTTCCTACAACTATTGCTTAAAAATTACACATACGAATAATTTCAAAAATTATATGAAAATATAATATAATGTAATAAATATTTGACCTAATATATATGTTTACTACTAATTATAGTACTTGTTTCCGATCTCACACCTTACGCGCTCGACCACGCCAATTTCTTGCGGATCGAATTTATGACCGTGGTACATAACACGAATGGAAAATCATAAACAATTAATCTCTCGTCAACTATTGCGTTTTGACACGATTTATAATATTCTGGATTAATGAGAGAGGTATATGATTATTACAATTTATTAAAATTTATGTTATCTAGAACGTTCCCATGCCCCCATGTCTCTTGATATACGCCTGGCCTGACGCCGAGACTGCCGAGACTGCCGAGAGCCGAGAAAACATATTTCGATC